TTGTGGGAAAATTCTACTTCTACCAGTCCTTCATCACCTTAAACGAAATTGGGTGAATACATCTTATAGTAGAATAAAAGTCGTTCAACAAAACATTTTTGAAGGTAAGAAGACCAAGATGATATGGCCTTTAGTATGGACGCGGTCTAGGCATAGACAATGAGCCTTGCCATTTTTAGTACCCCACCAAAACACATCGAAGAGACGAATGAAGTAAATCCTGTGACCAACTGTTTGCAAAACAGTTGTGGTATCTCTCCTGTCATGGCATATTCACTTAGGATATATCCTCGTAACAAGATTTAACTTGTGATAGCGAAGAGGCATTACGATGATATATGATAGGTGAATATACCAGGATAGAACTAGAGAAGCCACAACTGTTTAGCAGACAATTTATCATACGATTGACTTCATGTGTCTCTTTGACGAGTTTTGGTGTGATGCTAAGGATGGCAAGGCTAACTGGCGATGCCGGAGAAACGACTGGGAATGTACCAAGTCGACGCCCTGACTCTGGAAGTAAGCATACATACTATGGACTCCTGACAAGGTGAGCTCCTCTAGGTCGCTCTGACAATACAACCAAGTTGCGAAAACGAGGTCAAAAATGTTTTCTTGCTTTGTATATGGATCCATAAAAATGTAAACTTATCGTAGCAATAAACGCCAATTATGATAAACCTTTAAGAAGCCTTATGGAAAAAGACCATCGTGTAAGAAAAAGGAATGCATTATCGTCTAGTTTCATAATAAAGGCTTTGAATGAACTATGAACTATGTGCGGTATTTCGAGTCTTGGAACAAAACCTATGAAAAGGTGTCTCAATAAATTTTCAGAAATTCCTTTAAAGCAATGTACTATGTATACATATAAAATGAACAATAAATTTGTAAAGGAAAAAAAATTGCTTCATTCAAAGAATAAATAGGAAGATGAATATAGAATGATTGCCGATAAATGACTCATTTTTAACATTAAATACCAAGAAGAGTATGCTAAATTCTGGTAAACGCTATACAGCAGTACATTACAGACAAATAGGGTATATCAATGAAGAGTAGATGAATATATATATAGGTCCCTCTTTAAACTGTCTAAATATAAGTATGATCAGTTACTTAAGGATTCTTTACCCTCTGTAATGACAGAAAACTTTTTGATGATAGCCTAGGATCCATAAAGTCCTAGTAAGACCTAGTATTTAGCACCCATCGGGTTCACTTTCCTGTGATGTTGGCATAATACGAGATTTCACACCTTATCTAATTTGATTAGTAGTGAATCTAGGGTGATAATAAAATAGTCCACTCCTTTACTGACACTGCCGATGTCTCTAAACGTGAATAGTTGAGAAAAAGGCCCTTGAACTATTAATCCTAGAGATTAGCACTAGACATTAGAATCCTCAGACAGCTCATCAAACAAAATGAGTTAAGTAAATCTGTTGAGGCTCATTCAATGTGTATGGATAAGAGACTCAAAATTGAGCTCCTCTCTCATCGCATGAATGGCGTCACTATTTCACCTGGATCTGAATGATAAATAAGGAGGAATATTTTGCGAGTTTTGCTTTGGACAGTAAATATTTGTCAAACTTTATTTTAGGAAGCTACGGGAAGGCATAAATGCTAAGAAGCCATGCTATTAACTCATGGTCCATATTTCTATCACACCCCTAGATTTAGACACCGCATTGTTGCACTACTTTCCCTGTGAGTAGATAATAAGGGTTTCCTTTGTATATATTTGGCATAGCACAATCAACTACAAGGCAAATGATAAGGACTAGATTCTGGCTTCATTCATATACATTTCAAGCTTTTACATCAAGTTGCTAAAAACCTGTATAAATATGGTACGCCGCACCCGGCCCTTATCTTACCCAGCCACTTAGACCCATGATTATTTGCTCTAGGGCGAAAAATCCAAAGAGTACTCTTATCCACATGGCAAGTAGGAAGTTCTTGGTAAGGAAACTCATAGTGGCATGATATAGCCTAAGATTATTAAGTTCTTATTTAAGAATGACCGAGTTTTAAAAACTGATCCGAAAATAATCATGCCTAACTTTGACTAGTATTTACTTAATCACTTTGATGCCTCTCCTATGTTGAGACATAATTTTGAATGCTATTGCTTATGGTATATATAAAAGAATTTTAAGCTTTTTTTTCTTACAGGATGCCAATAACTTAGTTTCGATGACAGAAAATAATATTAGACAATAGGAGGTAGGTTATGGAAAGGAATTAACTCAAATCACGCCAAGCATACTACTTGATTCTCCAATGGGTTCGAACCAGCCTTTCGATGAACTTAGTTGCAACATATTCATAATTAGTGAGTATCGATACTATCAGCAGATCTTGAATAAGAGACTTAATAACTCTAGGTCACATAAGGCAATAAAGGACTGATAGTTAAATTTTTCGATAATGATACGCCGTAACTATCTGTAACACCTCAATAATTACTCACTCCTTCTTAACTAAACAATAGGAAGTGGTTTGAGCTCGTTTTCTCAACTGGCGAAAAAACAGAGGGTTATACTTATATATGATTAAACAATAAGAGCTCATGACTTACACTATATACTTAAGCCATTTTTTCCATGTTACAATAAAACACCGCACTGGCTAATCCATACAAAGCCCGGCCATCACACTCTGTAGCGGGCGGAAATCTTGTCTTGTAGGCTTCGAAAAGGGTTGGGCAAATCTAATTACACTTTCTTACAAACAAGATTAAAAAACAATTTAACCTTGCAGCTATTCAAACATTAGTCAAACTCAAGTAGATAAAGGGATTATTCTTTTAAATAAAAATTAGACATTCTCTCAAGTGCCATCTAATAAGGAAACATTTAAAACTAGAAAGTTAATATTGGTTGTGTTTACTTCGTGTCAAGTACGCCTAACGGAGGTTGAACAAGCAAAATGACAACATGTAACCCGAAACAAAAGCTGCCTTGAATAAATAATATTAAAAAAACTTTGAAGTAAACAACACGTAATAACGATAAAGTGGACTTTGGAGTCCATGGAAAAGAATTGGCTCAAAAACAATCAGTAATAAACGACCAGGCCAGTAAGTAGCGTTTTGCAGAGCCCCGAAAGTAAAATACAAAACATGTCGATCATCCTTGAAGGTATAGATCTACAAAAAACTATGAATTCCAGGCAAGACAATATTAATGGCTCGTTCATGTCAAATAGCTTTTGATTTAGGAAATAAAAACCAAAGGCTTATTCCACTAGTTATGGAAACTAGAAAGCTCGTGGGTTGTAGTGTGCCTATAATTATCAAACTATAAAATATTGGAATCAAAATGTATGATCAGAAAATAGGCTTTCGTCATAAGGTAAACTGTAGAAGTAACAGTGAAAGCTAACAAGTCCATCCGTGTCGCTAAATTACTGCCTTTGATTTTCATGACCAAATATAACTGAGTAACACTAACTTGACTAGATCGAAGATGAACTCCAGTGGTTCTGGGTGTTCCATAAGTGCGTCCAAGTCGGGATAGCCAAGACCACCCTGTTCACGTAGGCTCATCAAGCCGCAACAATGCTTAGGCTGACCAGCGCTGCCGGCCTCTCCTGTCTTGTTTAGCATATAATCACGTAGCTTCTTGTTCACAGCAGGAAAGTTGAGTAATCGGTCAGGTTGCACTGTGAATGATGCCACCTCACCAATCAGCATTGTAGACAGACATTGCTCCCAAAACTAGATGGGATATAGAGATAATTGCTTAAACTAATATTTTGTAACAATATAAAAAGTCAAATGAACTGTTGCCTATCTATCAAGATAAAATTATGATAATTATAGGATTGGAGAATTCTAAGAAAATTTATTCTTGCCCGAGGCAAGATAAAATGATCCATTTTAGCCATCGGACTACATCGAGTTTGATAAGTAAAATCATCATTTTAATCATTTTTCATTTTTATACTGTTATGCAAAATAGTAGGGATATTAAATTCAAAATAAGTATAAAATTTTGCTTCGGAAGAACGAAAATAATGCTTGGAAAAGTTGCTCGCAACGAGCAAGTGAAACAGAGAAGATAAATTAATATTTTTTAGGGATTGATTAGAAAAATGAAGGCATTGTTCCGGAATTCGAGCTTAGCTTAGAACAAAAATCAGAACGATTAATTGATCTATTTTTACAAATATTCGTAACTTTACAAAGAGAGATTTCAAATAACACACCAAAGATCATGGTATGTATTATTATTGTTATATCTTCGATAGGTATATGACCATTTCACTGGGGATAGGAAAGCATAAAAGCGATGGCAGAGGACGTGGCAAGGTTTATGTTATCTAGAATGTCCCTTTAAACAGGATTAAGTTGTGAAAATAGGATTGAACCAAATCAATGCAGCGAATTTAGACTTAGACACATTTAAGGGTTATATCATCCTGGTCTGAATATCAACGGGCAATAAAACGTTTGCCCATAAAAGCATAGTAAATAGTGTCTGTACATGAGGTGTATTCATCCAATTTTGTTTAAGGTGATAAGAGGAATGGTAGTTGATTTTTTCCACAATGCTATTAGCAAAGATTAAATTTACATTGAATTTCATAGTTCCTTGCTTTACCAAAAGGTATTTTTATCCAGGCAAAAGTAGACTGCAATTTCTACCTCGTATAGGTCTCATCGGCACACACCCCCAGACACTTGGACCATGCCAGTGCAGCGTATAATCTCGGTACGCTAACCCTTGGGTCACAGGGCAAATATGAATTCCAAGAAAGGCCAGGCATTTTCCCATATTGCGATATGACTTTCCATTTCGCAGGAACAGTTGGTTGGAAGGAATTTGTGATGTAGCTTCATTAGAAACCGAAGAAGGATTGTTGCTAATGGGAGATTATTTTATTGTGCACATCGTCCTGCGACCCCGGTGAACTTGTACTAAGCTTTCGCCTGTACTGTGACATACATAATCAGAGTAAGAATCCATATTTTACGAAAGAGAGAAAAATATACTGGAGTCCTAGTAGCTTTTTCATACACCTAACTCTGTGATCTTAATTAAGCATCCCATGGTCTTGTCACCTACTCCATATTAAATTAGGTGTATGAAAAAGCGACTAGGGTTTCAGCCGGCCACTTTTCCCTTGACTTAGCATATTTTTGC